TATATATATATATTACTTTATATGAGTTGTTTTGATATAAACACGCATATAATAACAATAATAATTTATATAGATAGAATTGTGTACTTTGATGTCTATGGTATTTTTGTTCTCTGGTTTGATTATTTTCTGATCCAATTCAAATCCAATAGTTGGTTCGTTTAAGCTTTGTTGATTGACTCTTAATTTTGCAATTTAAGCTCTTGCAAACATTGATTGCTTATTTCAACATCTCAAAATTGTTGATTCATTATTCTTATATGTCAATGACCTGTGATTAATAGTTTGTTGTTGTAGTTGCTTTTACAACATTTGTTGATTTGATTTGTGATTCTAGAATTGTTACTAATGTAGGGAATTGCTACAATATTATGGTTTATAGTCCTAGCGCTGTAGCTAATTCGAACATTTTTTAGAAGTATTTATCAACTTGGGGTTTCTTTGATTATAAATATTTGAAAAACATGTAACCAGTAATTTTTTTAATGAAATTTTGTTTCTCTCAAATATGTATGCTATTTTTTTTCGGTCCAACTAAAAGTCAAAAAAGTGTGAGTTTATTATTGTGTAGATGAGGTCAAACCCATGACCTTGACAACAACACCCGATGCCCTAACCAATTGAACTAGTTTGTACCCACAAAATTTGTGCACTAGTTGGATATTAGCTATTCAAGTGCAGTGCGAGTTTAATGATGAGCTTCTAGGGGAAGAGAATTCCTTTTACTAGCTTGATTCATAGATCTTTTATTTGAGGGATTACTTTTATGTTTATTTTTTGCCAATATTTTTATTGTATTTCAGAAGTGATTAATTTGATCAAATTTATTATAATTTAAATTTGTGCAGCCCACTTATACTAGTAGCTGGGGGCTGTCTCCAAACACAAGGTCTTGTGTTAAAGCCTAGCACATTCAACTATGTGTGAGTTAAGAAAAAAATTAATCTAACCTAAAATTATTAGATGCGGCATAAGTTTTTGATCGACAATGGTTTAAATAGGCCGTAAATTCCTACATGATTCTATTTGGGTGATCACTAAATTATTAATACTACATTTGTTTTCTAGTTTGAAAAAATCATTTTTTGTCTACATTAAGGGTTGTATGGTATAGGTAAAATATAATAAATTATGTTAATCTAGCTTTAGTAAATCTTGACTGTTTTAAATCATAAAAATGTTTAGCATGATAATAGTTAAATCCAACTAAACCCTGGTAAATGGTTTCCTTATCTGTTCCTAAAATTAAAATTTAATTGATCCAAAACAAAGGCTATGATTGAGATTATAGTTGCTACTATGGGAGGAGATCATGTGAGATTCACAAATGAGATGTACTGAGGAAATTCACTCGATGATTGTAGATAAACTAATCATATAAAATAATTGAGTAGAAGCTTTAATTCTTGTACAAAAGAGATCACATAAGTATACAGACAAAGGAGGTTTGGAGAGATTGTGAGAAAAGATATCTGGGAAAGGGAATGTTATAGGAACCACCACTTCATACAAAAAAAGTCTCTCTAAATTATGCTAAATCCATCAAAGTGTGGATATAACAAATCCTTTACTTATTAAAGAATGTCAATTATATGTTATTAATCATATTGTGAGATAAGAGTTTAAGTACAACAAATTTGACCTTGTGCATGATTTCCTACATTTGCATTAAAAAATGCAATACCTTAAGACACCCTAGATCACATAGTGCAATATCTTATTAAGTCAAGTGAATTTTATCCTCGGAAGGATATTCAAATTTATACTTCATTTAATATAATATATGATTTGTCATACTAATGTATCATCATCATCAAAAGTAATATTCTTTGCCCTCTGTAATAGCTCTTTCCACCGAATAAATGAGTGAGATCATTTCCTAACACTCTCTACAAGTAAATCTTTGAGCACATAAGACTCATTTTAAGTGAATATCGTTGAATATTTTGTGCACAAAAAAAGGAAATAAATGAAATAAACAAACATATATGCTGATATCAATGGAAAAATCATAATGGCAGTATAAAATATTACAATAGATAATTCAACCACTAGACCAAGAAACTAAAAGAAGCCAATGCTTATTTCTATACAACTTCCTTTAAATGATTTGCCTCCTTTATCAGTGCTAAAGGGTATCATGCGTATCTGTCTATGTGGATTAAGATCGAGTAGGACTAGCGCACCACAAAGATTACTCTAGTGGACTCGAATGTGCCTTTGTTCTATCACCTGAATACCTAAAACTCTAGGGAGGACCTTAGTCTAAAAAGTAAAAAAAAGAGAGCTTCAGAATTTCATGCTTAAGAATCCCTACTTCATAAATTTGAACATTAATTCACTCATAAGTTAAAAATCATTCTTCAAACAGAGATCAATTAGCAAAATAGAGTGGTAGGAAATTACTGCTGATTAGGATTTGGATACAAAATGAACCGAAAGATAAGAACAGCCTATACAATCTAAGATTAAACATTTAGCGGAGAAAAAAAAAAGGATTAGAACCAACTCTTTCCTTCTAGAAGGGTTACAGTATCAAAGTAGTTGATCAGCTGAGCAATCAAATCGCTAACCAACATTTTAATCACAATGGCCAAAGAATATACTACAAAATTTATACTCTCAAAATTTGAAGAGGGCCAACATTGATGGAAGCAGAGCCATCTTCACACCAAATCAAAGTTGATCTCCATTTCAGAACGAGCATAAAAAAAACACAAATTAAATGGTTCAATAAAAAAAACGAGCATTACGTTCGTACCGAACGTAATGGCAATAAATGCTCCCGCTGGGGCAACGATCGAAGCGATATCCTTAACCGGAATACGAGGGAGACTCTGCTGCGCCTGAGAATGCCGATATGCTCTCCTTCCTGAACCTCCGCGAGCTCCAGAGGCAGCCACGGGGATGAAGGCTAGGAAGCCACGCCGCCGGCCTACAAACGGCTGTACTGGTGAAGGAAGCGGGAAACTGAGAGATCTCAGGCGGCGGCGGCTTCGATTGATCGTATGGGAGTTGGAGGCTGCACCAGTACCATCGAAGGTTCCACCATGAAAGGCAGAGTAGAACGTGAAGGAAACTAGAGTTGAGGATTCCATGGAGAATCTAAAATCCTGATCTTGGAGGGTTTTGTATGGCGTTTTTGGGGTTTTAAAATCAGAGTGCGCCGCAGAAGCTGGAACAAAATGGGGAACGTATCCCTAGCGATAAATTTGCCCAGTCGGACGTAAGGCTTGTGTCCATTTTATGTTTTTTCATGGTTCCCGGAATCTTCATTTTGGGGAATTTACATAAAAACCACTTAAAAGTTTTTATTTTACTTGCCACCCAAACGTTAATTTCATGGATATGCCATCCCAAACTTATGTGAGCCTCAAATCTACCATTCCATATATTCTCTCGTTGCCGCCGCAACTCCACCTCAAATGAAAAAAATATTACATCCATGCAGAGCTGTGTACCGACAACGGACATGATACAGCGGGGTGGAGCAAGAGCTCAGACCTCCGTCGTATTACGTCCGTTGCTGGACACAATACTTTCTCCCTCAAACGTCGTATTCTTCCTATGGACACTCCCATATATTCAATACTCGATACCTTGCAGGTTATCTTACCAAACATCCTCTCCCTCGCCCAAGGGAGCTTGATCTAGCTATTTGTCACATAGAACAATAAATAGGTGGAGTTATCTTATTTGTCCCGTGATACCCTGTGAACTCTCAGTCCTTTCTTATAGGAAATCTTCTCCCTCGGTTAGATGTATTTGTCACTTGCGAGCTTAGGGGGACAAAGAATGATACTTGGAGAGTTCAGTTACATCTTCTTCCTATAGGGTTTGGGATTTTGATAAAAATCATACACCCTAAACTTTATTATATATTCATCTATTTAGGGTTTATGTTCTTTTTTCCTATACCATTTTGAAGATTTTTGTGGCTTTATGGTATGATATCGTTGGCAGTTATATGAGTGTTATTCACCTAGTGTTGTTTGAGAAGTTGCCAAGGTTGATATGTTTTAGAATTTTCATTAAAAGTTATTAAATGTGTTTTGATTGTTCCATTATTATCAATTTTAGGGGGATCTATTAATGATGCAGGGGAAATTTTCAAATGTTCTTTTTTAAAAAAACAATAATGATTTATATTTCTTTTATACTTGTATGGAATGGAAGGCATCTATTGTGTACATCATTTATGACATATTGCGAAAATTTGTTGTTTATTATAGTTAATTTTTTTCAGTTTCAATTTAATGATAATTCTTAATGGATCTGTTGTGTTTTTATTGCCTACAAATATTAGGAAAAAATTTGCATACATAAGATGTTCGCAGAGATGCGTACGTCTGTAACCTGCAAATAGGTTACATAGAGGATATTGGAAAAGGGAGGTTATAACCGCGTTATACTCCCTGTAACCTCCCTGTAAACTACCTGTATACAAGGAGGTTACAGTGAGTATAACGCGGTTAGAACCTCCCCATATCCTCCATGTAACATATTTGCAAGTTACAGACGTACGCAGCACTGCGTATGTCTTATCTAGGCAAATTTTTTTCCAAATATTAATAGCTTGTCTATTAATTTATATTTTATATGCATGAATTAACATGTTTCAAACTTAGGAATATGAGTTCAAGTTTTTTTTTGTCAATATTGAGGAGTAATTCAAACCATTGTGTTAATTGCAAATGAAGATTATTATATTTGATATTCACTTGCCATCGAGGATCAAATCATGATTGTAGAATTTTGAGATGTCCAAGAAATTGAAGACAAGATGATTGCAACTACTTTGAATGGATTGATGAAGTAAGGAATGCAGCATTTCATATGAATTATATTGGAATGGTTTCTTTTGAAGAGACGGTAATAAGAGATTTTGATAATCTTCAAGCTATTAAATTTCAACTGAAAGTTGTGAAAACCATTCTAATTTACAGAAGTTTTTTTTTTTTTTTTTT